TTTAAAAAACCGGACATTTCTGTTAAGATTCGAAGTTATTAGCATTTAATTGACCAATTTTGGGTTTTTGTACTAAAAATCGTAAAAGTTCCCTTAAAAATAAAAAACGCGCTAGAAAATAAAAATGTTTGTATGAATATGTTCTACATGGGCTAGTGTATCACCCCCTTAAAGGTTAGCACCCAGCTACCAAACACCCTGTATATAGAATTAAATAGTTAAGTAAAACCCGCTCCATTGATTTTATCAATAGAGCGGATTACTTCATATCCCGTCAAACTGGAAAATGCGAATTCTTCTTCTTCTGCTGTGGATTGATTCGCAGTATTCCGCAATCTGATTCCATAACGGTTCCGTTGTGGAAGATGAAAGATTATATCTTCTCGCTCGCGGCAATGAAAATAACACAATGATGGATATTGCAGACGTTGCTTCTATTATGACATGACAATTGTTCATGTGCATACAATCACAAATGTCAAATTGTCTTTGCGTGGACCATGACCATGCTATAACTCAACAAACCAAAGGTCGTCAATTCGTTCAATCTTTCCTAAATTTTTCAGATGGTTTAATAATTATTCTGCAATTAGGGGTGGAGACAAATGTAACAAATTAAAAATCATGAAAATTTGTCCTGCCGTTCAGGAGTTTTAAAAGGTGTGATGTTTTATATATTTTTTTATATTAGACTACAATCATTGCAAATATTTCTCACTCTCTTCTATTCCACAGACACTCGCATAGCAATGACTGTCAATGCCCTTCAAGTAAGGAACATCAGCAGAACTTCTCAAGAATTTTGAACAGTAATGACAGCGACAGTGATTGTTCATTTTACGACACAGAAAACGATGTGGAGCAGAGGCTGGGGGGCTTTCTGAATGGAGATATCTCCGAGTTGAGTATCAGTCAAGACACTATTAGTACTACCCAAGATGAGACTTTCGCAACAACATCTGACTGCACACCACAACCGACTTCTTCATCAAGTTTGGACGCCTCCACTTTGAGTTTGAGAGACGAAGACTGCACATCGCTGGAAATTAACGGGTCTCTGGCAGATATATCTAAAGTGTAAGAAAACGTTCATTAAAAAATCATAGTCAACTTTCGAAGTGGACAAGATATCAAGCTTGGATAAAATTTATGTAAAGATATATTATTTTCAGTACCATTTGATCAATAAACAAAACACTTGCATCACTTGTTCCCGAGAGGGTGGTACCATCTTTATCTTAATGATAGGTAATTGAAGTTTGATTGGGTAGAATTGGAAACCTCTGTTGTAAAATGAATCTAAAGTAATCACTTCTCACACAAAAACACTGTTTCTTGACGCGCGTTTCGTTAGGAGCAAATCTTATTCTATCCATTAGCTATGAAACAGACTATCTTTGTATAACGTCTATTTCAAATTTAACGAATCCACACGAAGAAATCTGGGTGATTCAGTGGACCATTCTAAGGGAAAAAGTGTGCCTATCCGCCGGTTTGGATAATCGTCATCTAGCCACTTTCAAACCAGCGTGTTATAATGTGGAGGTAGCTGATCTTGCTCAGTAGAAGACGCATTTGGGTTTGCCAGCTATACAAACCGGTAGATGGGCAGACGTGGTCCCTTGGAAGAGCCCACTAGATGACCTGATGTGACACCTCTAGGTGTTTTTGAGGTAAAGAGACTTTTTAAGTCCGCACTGTATATAATCGAGTGTGAAGTAAAATTTTTGAGGTGAAATTCTCTGGAAATGTCGGTTCAAAATAACATGATACGATAAGAATAGGATTTTCTTTCATATAGAGAAGTTATGATTCAATGGCATACTATTGAATAGATAATTGTAGAATGATTTTTTATTTGAATTGAAGTGTTGATACATAATAATAATAGTATTGAATTGTCAGAACGATATTTGTTATGGAAATATCGTCCGAAAAGATAAAGAAGAACTAATGAATTTGAAATTCGTCCGTAAACTCTACAACTATTCTTAGAAGTCCTCGGTAGGATGATGTCTTTCTCTTCTATCAAACCCATTCAATATGTAATGACAGAAATCTTATTCTCAGATACCCTTCTCTGCATGGTAAGTAACCATGAAAAAGATGTCCAGAATATTGTAACTGACTCGAAACCTAGAGATTTACCACTACTTATGAGAATTGTCTCCCACGACATTCCGGTCCATGGCATTTTCATGATAGGTATTTCTAATGCGAGACGCTGCTAGGGTCTGCCATGGGGTGTCTAAAACCTGAAACAATTAAGCACTCGTTATCAGCATGATTTCAATATATATATATATATTCATTATTCTAAGCCTTTTGGTTGTTGTATTGCCATATCCGACTCTTCTAGGTTTTGACGAGACATTGGTGTTGCATTTCGCTTCTGGAGAATTCTTGCGAACCTGACATGCAACACCCTGAAAACTAGATATTCGTCGCATAGTTACTATTTCTCTATACACCAATATGCTGATGATACCCAGTTGTATTCTTCTCTTCCTCATGATAGGTGGCAAATTTCAGTAAAAAAAGTTAATGTGGACTTTCAGAACTTATTAAATATATTTGTTTGAAGGTGATTGACAATGTTTCATGATGAATTTCACTAGTTCGGACTTCCATTGTCTACTATATAAAATGATTTGAAATTCCTGAAACAAGTAAAGAAGAAGAATTGAAAATGAATAGCTGAAAATAACAATTATATTAACCAAAATAAACCTGAAATGAAATAATAGTGACATAAAATACAAGTAAAAATAGAACAATTGAATAAATAAAA